GGAGCCTGCCCGGTTTGAGATGCCCGCTCGCATCCTCCCGCGGAGGAGCAGATGCGGAGGGCCGCGCCGCTGCGTCAGCAGGAAGCCTCGAGGAATCTGTGCGGTGGATGGATTACAGCCGCAGCGCAGGATCCCTCTCCTAAGCCTTGTCCATTCATTGCCCTGTGCCAAACCTCCGGCTCTCTGGAGGCGAGCCAGCACCGTAGAGGCCCTGTGACATCAGTGTCATCGCTCAGCCCATGTGGAGCTGACAATGAGCTGCACAGAGCCGCTTTAGCCATTTTTGTGTGTGTGTTTGGGGTGTTTTTTTTTGCTTTTGCTATTTTCTCCCATAATCCAAACCGGTCAATGACGATCCCCTGTAGCAAAGCACAAATTGCAACAGTTAGCAGGGTTGCTGTAAACTTTCCTCCTTTCAGCCCAGAGTCAGGGAAGAACGGTAAAACAGATCGGCAATGAGTTGTGCAGCCTTCTCATTCTGGTTCAAGTAGTTGTGTTAGAAACTGAGCCCTGCATCCAGTTGACCCATTTTATGATCTGAAGCGGGTAACTTGAGCGCTGTGCCTACCTATGTAAAAAGGACATGGTAACAACAATAGGTGTTTAGGTGTTCTTTACCTTAAAAAAAGAAATTTGATATCTTGGCAAGGTAGGTGCCATAGAAGTGTTAAGCATTACACGCTATCGTGGGGGCCTTGAAAAGCAAAGACTGAAATGTTGGTAAGGTGAGAACTTGGTAACATACACTTAAGTCTTTTTGTAACACAGAGCCGAAAAAGTCTTTGTAAACAGTCTGGACAGGTATCTTTTCCCTTCCCTCGGTAGCTTGTCTGTCCACAGGTACGGTTTCCTGTTTAACATAGTTACCAAAAACCTTTAAATCTTTTAAAGATCAAGTCTGACTGCACTACACTATGGTGTATACCCACATACCACCTTTTGTGGTAGTGAAAATGGGTTGTGACAGGAAGAAAAAGGCCACCTAGCAGGGGAAAAAGTGAAATGTCATTTTTCTCTCATGGTGAAGGATCTAGAGGTGAGGGTAAACAGCAAATTTGGTTAATTGGTAAGGTGATACTGGCAGCAGCAAACGGCCAAACAGTAAACAGTTTGAGCTGCATTTCTGAGGTCATTGTATTCCAGAGAAGGGAGATAATTGTCCATCCTTATATTGCTCTAACCACTCTCCCCAGCAATACTACATTCTGTTGGGACCCACAAATCCACATTACTAGAAAGGTATCAACAAAGCAGAATTTGGTGAAGCGGAGTGTGATAGAAAATCTTGCTTCTTAAGAAAGATCAAAATACAGGACTTAGGACAACTTGATAAATGGACTAAGAGGAACTCAGAAATACAGTTTTTGAAGGGGTGAAGTAAAGCTGTACGTGGAAGTACAGGTAGGATTAGCTCAACTTAGTTCCGAGCTCAGGGGTGAAGGAAGGGAGGTGGTAATGAGCTCTTGCATTGTAGAACAGTCTTGCTTTGGAAGCAGTATTAAACTTGTGCTGAACTTTGGAAAAAATCTTTGCTCTCAGTAATTACATTCATATTCAGTTTGACATTGGCAAGGTAGAAATTCGGAGCTAAAAAGCTTTTTACATCTCTAATGTGTTAAGTTTCAAATTCTTTGGCACTGATGAGCCAATATATAGTGCATATGTGCTATTTTGTCCTGTGGATTGCAATGAAGATCAGTCCACAAACACAGATATTGTTTCCTCATTATTCCATGTGGAATATAATTAACATTGGGTTAATTCAGAATTATGGAAAACTCTTAGGATCACACATATCAGACATCTGGTTCAGAGCTTGGGTTTTCTTTATGTATGTGTCTAGGTGAGTAGTTTCTTTGCACGCTCCCAATCCATTCTCCTCACCTTTCCACTCCTCTGACAGAGTGTAGATAATCCTACTGGGGCCAGTGCAGGAATCAGCGGGACAAAAAGAACAGGTCTGTCATAAAGCTGAATGCTGCCTTCTCATTACTGTCACTTCCTCAGGTGAGAGAGATAGAAACGAAGGCAGCTAATATTTTTATCTGATTGTTATTTTGTTTTTAAGGAATGTCTATCCAGATTGTTGAAGAACTTTTTATCAAAGAAGAAGTAATTTATTCCTTTGCAGGGCAAGTCTTGCACTTGCCTAAATAGAAACATAAAATGTTGTTGAAACCATGACCTTGCATGTGTCTTTTCATATGCCCAAGATACATAGTCTATTGCAGATCAGAAGTCAAACTCTCAAGCAATCTGCTGCTGAAATGCTTAATGATACAACATTGTTGCTGCAGTAACAGTAATTCAAGGCTCTTCTATGAGCACATCTGCCACTGCAGCTAAAATATAACCGGTGAGTAATGTGGCCAGCTTAATGAAGTAGTAGCAACTTGAACAATTGGAATTTCCATTACTTGTTTCCTTCCACCTTAATTTAGAATTGACACTAGTGGTTTTTATTTCATTCGCTTAATGGCTGTGCACTCCCAAGCATGCAGTTGTAGCTCTCCTGAAGTCAGCTCACTGTAGTACACCATGGTCTCCTAGCATATGTGAATTGTTTCCGCTAGTGTAACGTCTCTGACGTAGTTGTGGAAGGACAGCTCTGCTCGGGCCCGAGGCATTTGCTGGAGGGGGCAGCACTCTCGGCTGCCCGCAGGAGCCTGGTACCCATCCAGCTTCCTCACAACTGCTCCCATCACTCAGCCGGGGACAGCTCTGTGGGGCACCTGGTGAGCTCTGGGCGATTCTCAGTTTTGATGTCTGTAGAGAAAATGTCACCCTGCTCCTGGAATATGGTTTTTTTTCATTTAAATGTCACTCCTTACACCAGCGACCTCGTCTGACTCAGCATAGCTTCTGTCTGAAGGAAGGGAACTGTGAGCAAGTCATAGGTTTTGACGTAGCTAGAGAATGCAGGGAAAAAGGCACACCAAGAGAAACAAAATACTGTTATCTGAGCAAACAAAAAAAAAGATTTTTGGAACAGTCTAAAGGGCAGTTATGTAAAGCAACTATAATCTAAACATCACAAGCTTCTGAAGGCAAGGGGATTGTCTATTATGGACACAGTTTATTTCGTCCTCAGGTGTCACGGAAGGGTTTGCTGAGGTTTGTGCTTGTGGTCATGATGGCACTGGACCTGCTGCACCAATCCAGTTCCTGGGTTTGCTCTGCATGTTTGATATGGTGAGAACACCCCTGCCTCTCACCTTTGAAAACAGGGCAGGATTCAGATAATCATCTGGGTGGATTACCAGCTTTCTTATTTAGAGGCCAATTGTATTAAAAGTCAGTCGAAGGCGAGACCTATGGGAAGAGTGTCCTCAGGAAAAGAAGCTGTGACTACAGCATGAGCTGCTTTACTATTTGCACTTTGTTATTAGGCACAGAGCTTTCTCTGGGCAGGCAGAGGGGAAACAAACATCGGAGGAAAGGTCTTAGCGAGGCCTGGAGAAAGAAAACTGTGGAATATTTTTACTCCAGAATGCACCTGGTGGTGATAGTGCAGGCACGTGAAGGAGCTGTGGTGCTGTTGTGTTGAAGGGGAATGTTGGCCAGGACACTGGCATGTCCTCTACACTTTCTTTTTAAAGGTGCCGAGCTATGCTGAACATTCATGCGGACACAGAAACCAAAGGAGTAGGAACAAGTGACCTCAGTTTAACATTTCATTCAAATGACAGTGCCCCTAATGAGATGACCACTAGTTTCCCAGCACACCACCCAGCCTGAAGGATCTCACAGATCCTTTCAGATGTCCTAAACTGATAAGCAAATGTGAAAGTAGAAGCACATACTGTTTGATTAGACAGCATCTCTGTTTCTTAAGGCTTAGCTCTGTTCATTTGCTGTGCAGTTTTACTCTGTTCTGGGTTTTGCATCCCCACCCCCCTTTTTCTTTTCTTTACACAAATGACTGAAAATTTAGGTATAGGAAGGTAACATGCACAGAATTCACAGTCCGTATAAATGCAACCTCTCTTCCAATACTTTTTTTCTGTGATACTGTCTTTACTAGTGAAGCAATGACTTGCTATGTTTATCTTACTTCTGGTTTTATTCCATTCTCCTGAACCCTTGAAATGGAGCAAGAAAGGGCACTGAAAACCAGCAGCGAATTCCTAGGAAAAGGAAAGGAGTAGCTTGATGAGAATTTACCTTCAATCTTTTGTGTGTGCAAGTGACCTGTAAAAAAAAAATAAAAATCCAGTACTAGTGTTTAGAAAGAGAGCTACTAGGTAAACTGGCAGGCCTGAAAATTCTGCCATTTGAAGTGCAACAAGTCAGTTTTGTCTCCCCTCAAAGTTACCATCCAAACATCACTAGTTCTGGGCTCTTTTACCGTAGGTTATAAATGCTGTTGATGCAAATGTGTCCTAGAGGTATTTGTGAGACATCAGAAACCTGTTTTTGTTTTAATCTGTGTCTTACTGTTTGCTTTGGTTTTGGTTCCGGCCAGTTCTACTGCCACAGTGTAACTTTCATTCAAATCCATGTATATTGCTGGAGTTTAATTTGGACCTGGGACTAAAAAATATGGTTATGTGGTTTAGTCTAGTGTCTGGGTGGAGCTTAATTATTCCCTCGTACAAATGGCTTTTCTGCCACCGTGAATACTAAACAATCACTTATATTGCCTTATGGTTTTGAAAACTTATTGATCATCTTAGATGAAGACTGAGGTGCTGGTAATGTTTGCTCTCTGCCATTTCACCATCAGTTTTTCTATCATGTTTTAAGGTAGGTGTGTGGGCAGAGCAAACCAAGCTACCTCATTCTAGTGCATTATGTGGTTTTGTTATCTTTTTGATTATCAGAATAGAACCCAAGCTTTTTCCCCCTACCTTAACATAATGGGAATTAATTTCTAACTGGAGAATAAAAGCAGGGATTACAGGAGAGTGGTTCCTGCACATATCAATGACTTGAAAGGGGTGAGTGGTATTTAATGTTAGAGTAGAAGCTTTTTGTTTCTATCTGTAGTTCTGACAACAGCTTTTCACCTTCTTGTTCTCTTTATTTTAGATATTCCTTATCTAAGGCAGAAGTGCTATCCAGCAGTACTGAGCAAGGGCTATTAAGTTTTATGGAACACATAACAACTGGAATATAAAATATGAAAAATCAAGGAATGAATTAAGGAAGCACTTAGCTAGCTGTTTGTATTCTTAGCCTTCCACTTAAGTGTCATGCCTTTAGAAGACTTGCAGTGAAAAAATGAGACAGGTATGTAGTGAAACTGTGCTTGTGCCATGGAAGTGAAATGCTGGTTAGGAGTAAACCATAGTACCTCTTTCTGCATTCAAAGAGAATAAATCTTAATTTTCCATTGAGAAAGCAAGGGCTGTGGAACCAAAAGCCAAACATGAAGTTGTGGTTGTTTTTTTGTGATGTTAAATGCATGCACTATATACTTTTTTTTTTTTTCAGTTTAACAAACAAATGCAGAAGAAGGTAAACACTCTGTTTGGGTGCCTTTCCTGCTACATATGGAAAGATCTATGTAAAACTGTACAGGATGTATGAGATCTATGTATGTTATAGATCACAGTGCAATAAACATATGTCTGGAGCAGAAGTTACAAATACCTATGCACTGTTGTTAACAGATTAGTAAAGATATTTGGGTGTTTGGGATTTTAGCATGGGATTTTGCTTGCTTGTTTTATTATTATTTTGTCCATAAAGTGACTTGAGTATGAAGAGGGGCTTGAGAAGCCTAGAAAGATCTGTCCCCTTCCCCGGGGGCTATATTAGACTTCTGAGTCATGAAGTCTTTGCATAGTAGGTATCTGGTTACAAACCTTTTATGGGCCCTACTCAGCTGGGATATCAGCATCTGCATTATAGCTCCCATCTATTCTTAGGTGATATCAGAGCACGACTGAGCAGGCAAGGCAGAAAGAGAATTGCTTTTGTTATATAAAACTCTTCTCATTCTGTTTTTTCACACTTTCTCTGTCTACCCCATCTTTCTGTTCTGCAGTTCCTTGTTGGTGCCTTGTGAAAGAGGTACAAAATGGCTTACAGCGTGACTCTGAATGGACCTGGACCATGGGGTTTCCGGCTGCAAGGGGGCAAGGACTTCAACATGCCCTTGACCATCTCCAGAGTAAGTGAGCAAAAAAGCCTTTGTTGAGCTTGTTTAGGTTGGAAAGTAGCAGTGAACTAGTCATATGTACACTCTGACCTGGTCTAGCAAAATAGAGCACATTTGCACCTAGGTCTGAATAAAGAGTATAATGTGAACTTTAAATAAACCAGTTCAAGGTACAACCTGGCACTGATGATGCCTGAGGAAGACAGTTCTGCTTTGTGTATTTTTAAGAATGATGATACTGGCTCTTTTAAATAAGCTTCCAGTTCTATTTTGTACAGTGCTGTCTCTTTCTGCTGATAGGGGCGTCACTGGTGCTGTCTGTTTGGGGGGACGGGAGTAGAACAACCATGAATGGGAATATAAAATCATATTTCTAAAAAATAAACATGTAACTGCTTGTAAATGCATGAAGTCTGGGTGTTAAAACTGGACAAAGATAGGATAAATGTCCCCTCTTTTTGGGGGGGGGGGAGCAATAATTGCATGAAAATTAGACATGTCAAGCAGAAGACTCAATAGTGCTTAAAATAAGGTCTTAAATTATGCAGAAGCCTTCCATTTGCAGCTGAAAAACAGCATATGATTCAATAATTAATTACCTGGTGGTATCTATTGATTACATTCCATTTATTTCCTAGCCACCTTTTTTTGTCTTAAGACTAATGTTTTAAGGTGTTGCAGTGGAACACTCTTACTACCTGAGTTAGCTCAGTTTCTTAAGAAGTTTTTAACACTGGATGGTTTTCAGGACATTTCTAAGCATGTCCCTTACATACTCTTCTCTTACCAAACTAGATAGGTCTGTGTAACTTCTGGTTTGGTAACTGTTTTCTACTACCTGTTGCAGCTCTGTCCTCCTCTTTTTTTTTTTGGTTCCAGAATGTTCAGATCTTTTTGGAGACATCTTGGTTCTTCCACAAATCACCTGCAGAAGGTTTATTTTGCAGTGCAATGACAGAGAGGTTACTTATGTAATAGTGTTGAAAAAGACTACCAGAATGATTTAATCAGACAAACAAATAGAATACAAACAAAAGGTCTGCTCCACTGAAAAAAAAAAAAAGCCACCTACACTACTTCAAAACCTGTTTTTTTAATAATGAAAAAACACAGTCTGTTAGGTTGTGGGTACCAAATTGATATATCCTTGCAGCAATCATGATTCAAAGTCATCAGTGAGCTTCTGAAATCTTAACTGTGGTATTTCATATTTATACTGTAAATCTCTGTATTATTTGATCTCTGTTATGCACAATATTCCTTTCTCTGAAGACAGAGCCATATTTACCTTAATACTAAGTCCTATGATGATGAGAGGAACTTTTCATAACCCCTTTTGCAGAAGCAGCATAGTTATTGCAAAGAAGGCTGTTCTGTCAGTGTTACTAAAAACAAACAAGCAAAAACCAACCCAAAAAAAACCCTGCCAACAAAAATAGATTCACTTCATAAATTTATACTGATTTCACTATGGTAAATAGTTTTGGTATTTCTTACCTTATCCCACCTCAGGTAAGTACAGAGAGCTGCCAACATATTTCTGTAGGCATTTCCATGACACTTTGCAGCCTGCAACCTGTGATGTTGATTATTTCATAAGTAATTCAGACATACCTAGAGGCTGTCAGTCAAGGGCTGTGGCTGTGGCACTTGCCCTTTATATGACACCATTATAAATGAAACACCAGTTGTTTTCCAAAGAACCCATTGTCTCAGATTATAATCTTTTAAACTATACTGACTATGCCCAAAGGCTACATGATTCTCATGGGGCTTTTGAGAGCATATGATGAGCAGGAGTGAAACTGCAATGGCTGGATTCCCAGAGGTGTAGAGGAATTACCTCTTCACACAGCTGGCTGCATTTCCAGCAGTAGAAGTGTCAGAAAGCACTGTTAAATGTTTTGAACTTTTTCCCAGTGAGGCCCAGTTTTTAGCTGGGAGTATTGCTTTGAGATGGAATTGGATGTTGCAGCCTGCCTTAGGGAGAAAAGCAGGCATGCAGAAATGAACATAACCTCTTCCAGGGAGAGCTGGAGTAGGATTGCCTGCTGGTTGTGATATTTTTTAATTGGAACACACTGTAATGCATGACTTTTGATGATAATATTCTTAAAAGCCTATTTTTTCGTTAGTATCTTTCACATAAATATATGTCCAAACAGATCAGTTATTCCTCTAATCAGCAATTTGCAGTCGTAAGTGAGTTGAGTTGTGAACTTAGCCATAATTGCAATCTTACCATGAGGGAAAAGGAAAGCTGTACTTACTAGATGTACTATACATCCCCCATATATTTGGTGGGGGAGTGGAGGAGGGAAGGTAACTGGGAGGCAAATCCCCTTCCTTCTTAGGAAGGGCAGACAGCTCTAAATGTTGCCAGTGGATGCCATACACTTATCTATGGTCTGGTTTTGATCCACAGCTGTCCTGGGAAGGGATTAGACTTTCTATCTGCAAGATGAGTCCTAAACCCCAAATGCTTCAACTTAAAGGGTCTTATAATTGCTTTTAATACCAGATGTGCCATGGCCCTTTTGCCTATGTGTGTGTAGTATCCTTCTATGCAGGCAGATAGGGTTTACAGGCAGACATGCTCATTATACACTAGTTGCCCCCAAGCCATAAGACTATGGGTGGGCCAGAGAGAACAAAAAGATTCATCCTTTCACATGGAGACTCTGTGCTCTTCTGTCATGCTGTGAGAGAGTTGCCTCTGAGCTCCTGAGAAACATGACAGCAACAGCCTACCACAGTGGGATAGTGCATCCCAGCTGTAGTCTTATGCCTGCATGTTTCCAAAGACCTTCCTGAAAGGGGAAGCTGGTGTTGTGCCAATATGAAGCTAGCCCACACCTAGGCATAAAGTGGGCACCCTGGGCTCAGGAACTAGAGCTGTGGCTTAGCTGCCTGTTGACATGTACTCTGTCAGCCAGCCCCACACTGTTTCCACTCAACTTGTACTTCACCTGAGAAGCAGGGGAGAAAAACTGGTCTTTGAAGCCTACTAACAAAAGCACAAGATTGTGGCATTGCTAATGCTTCTGTTCAGGAAAATGCTTTTAAAACAGTGGGCAAGGAGGGGAGTTACACAGAGCGGTTTGGCACAACAGTTCAGTTTTAATGGACTCTTTTCTTTAAAATGCTGTCTGAGACACTTTCTTCCCTTCAGGTAGGTCCAGGTGATCAGCTCACTGCTGAATAGTCAGCAGCATAGACACAGGAGTCCCAGTCAGTCTGCTGGGTGGCAGGTGAAGATGTGTTCCCCTGAAATGGATTGTTCTGCTTATCTGTTCCTTATCTAAAAATAAGTGTCTGACTAATGTAGGGGGTGGGGACAGGAAAAAGGGAGACAAAAACAAGTGGAGAAGAGTTAAGGTCACTCTGCAGCTTTCACATTCATTTAACAATGGTGTTAAAAATTAAACTGGGAAGATTTAAAAAATATTTTTCCAGTCCCCACCCTGCAGATGATCCTATCCTCGAGAACAAATTTTGTCATGAGATGTCACGGGCAGGTAGCAGAGGTAGGAAAACAGTATTGGCAGACTTAGAAAAGCTGAGCATCTGTCAGTCCTACTGAAATGAATGAGCCTTGTAAGTTGTTGGCAATGCTAAGAGCCATCACCAGTGGTATTCATAAATCTAGTCTTTCCAAATTGACACGGGCAGCAAAGCAGGTTGTTTTCTCCTACTGCTTGCAAGCAGAATTCATTAATTTTATAGACCTAATCCTCTGTAAGAAGGCTTTTAGGCATAGTTAATTATCTAAGTGCTGTGTTGCCATGTTACCTAAGATGGTAAGATTGTACATGGATGGATGCAATAGCAGAGCTGCTTCATATATTTCTGCATGATTATTGCTGAACAGCAAGCTTTTCTAGTGAGACAGACTGGCCTGCAGGTGATGCGGTGAGCTGAAAGGTGTGCAAGAATTATCATCCTTTGAGGTACAGAAATATTATCCAGAACAGTGTGGTAACTCATGACTGGTATATTCATGCTTGTGATTATCCGTGCAGTTTTGTGTTTCCAAATAGAGGGTATTTTTTAAAGTTGCTTGGGTTCCAAATCAAAAGCCAGAGCCTGAAGCTGGAGGAGACAGTGTTTAAACAAAAGTGTTAGAGAACTAATTTTGTTTTATTCTATTAAATGAGGAAAAAGTTGAAATCTGGTGATGATATAAGTGCAGTGAGGGAGAATGGCAAACACCAACAGCAAAAAAATGAATTAGCTGATCTGTATATTTATTCTGATGCAAGCAGCCTGAAACAGCTCTTTGGGAGGAAAAAGTCTCTACTCTGGCATCTCCATGTCCATGGTCCATGTCTCTGGAGGAGCAGAAAGGCTTTTTTCACATTTGTTGGGCTCGCTCTTTTTATCAGCATCTTTTCCCGATGATTTCCTGTCCCTCCTCTACTCCCTAGCCCGTGCCAGCCTCTCCCTGTGACTGCATTTCCTTTAGAGGAACTATGTGAAGTGTTCATGTCCTGTGGGCCTACTGCATAGGGGGTATCGATACCTACAACAGGCAAGTGATGGGTGAAGGGAGTCCCTCTTTCCTTTTTTCTTCTATTCTTGAATGCAGGGAAACCTCAGATTATCTGTGTCAGACACTGTGCATTCCACAACTGATGGCAGTGTGGTGCTGTACATAAATTATAATCAGAGTGCAGTTTACCTTTATCGACTGACCTGAAGAAATTTAACAAGTTCCCTCGAAATGCTGATTCCGTGTCACCTGTTAAGCACCTATCTCTTGAATCGAATTGCTGAGGAGTTGTCCCACAACTACAACTGCAACTTTGAGAAGCTTTTTTATCTCCAAATGTGAAGTCCTTCACAATACTAAAAGCCATAGATTAGTATTTATAATAGTTGATATTCCACAGAACTAAAAGGTAGGTCTCATGTCCTATAAAAGTCTTCTTTTTGAACTATGATTCAGTAGAGATGCTTTCTTTTTCCCCCAAAACTCAGATGACTGAGTCAACTTTTGAGAGGGGGAGTGA